TAGCGATTTCATCTTCAATAAAAATCAATGTAAAGTACAAACGTATACGCCTGTACTGTGTTCGAATATATTCGAAATAATTATATTAGATCCACAACAGATAGTGGACTTATTGCTCCCCAGAATACACACGTATATCTGAAAAAAGTTTGGATTAAGTTTGCTGAAAATCTTAGACCGTTAAAGTGGTTTCCAGGAGAGCTACGATGGACGTTCGATTTTCTCCTTGTGACGCGTGACTTTGTTGCATCTCGGTTAATCGATAAGCAAACTTCAATCCCCCTCTGCTTGAAAACTTCTTCAATCTCTTAGATTCTATTCCGTATCCGCTTATATCTCCAATTTCCGTTCCGTAAGGATCCACGATTTAAATGCGGAGAACAATGTTGGTGGATTTATGGGACTGGCTAACTATAAAGCTGCAAAGATTCATTGCTGGGTCGTAAATCTTTAGTTTTAGTCTTTAGTTTTTCTTTTTTTCTTTTCTTTCCTTTTTTTGAAACTAGCTATTAATTCACTCAAGGATAATGAATGTATTGATTGAATGTAATGATAAATTTTGTGTAAACGGAGCGTAATATTATCTTTATTTATTTATTATTTAATCCGAATGTCGCATGAACGAAATATTAATGATTTGAAAGAATAATAATAAACGTATATATATATATATTAATAACTAATAATAATTAAATTAATTTGTAATTATAATGCTAATTAAATTATTATAATGATCATTAGAAATCAATTTACAGAATTGCTATTTTATAATTAATTATCTATTGGGTCACTAAATACAAAATTCGTTAACTTTGATTATTGGAGTTCATAATGTTTGCATAAAATCACAAATACGCTTGTTATTTATAGACAAATATCAGCGTAATGAATGTAAAGTATTTGTGTTAATAATATTTTTTGTTTTTTGAAACAGGAAGGAAAAGAAAAAAGATATATTTTAAATTACACACACATTCATCTCTCCATATTTTTTAAATTCATCTTTCACAAGTAATTCATTCATTTTCAATTGAGAATATTAATAATAGTAAAAATTGAGAAACGAAAGACAAAAAAAAGAAGATTATCATTTAAAATACAATTTCGTTCGTTCAATCATCCTTTCCATAATTAGTTTTGACAATCGAGAAATTTTATTAATTTTCAAGAAATGACGATCGAATGAAATCACGCATGCTTTATTAATTATATTTTATGCCGAATTATCCGATTGTAATACAAAATGTACGAGAGATGGGATCCTTCCTTCAGTCAGATCAGTTCTGAAATGAAATATTTCAAGTTTATCGATACCCTCCTCGCATGAGAAAAACATCAGGCGAACGAATGAAATTCCCAAAGTTTGTAGCATGCGTGGAACAAGCCTAGCACATGTGATTAGAGAGATTAAAGGGAAACATTTTATCGTAAACGTTTCGAGAGAATTTAATTCACCTGAAAGCTTTTAGAGGGTATCGTCACATTTGGAAAGTTACTGTAAAATTCACTTTGCAATAACGTGGAATCATGCGATTGCCATACATTTTCAAACAGGACGATTGAGTTTCTCTGCTTTCATCGTAACTAATATAAATAACAAAATCTTTTATTTTTTTTCCTTTTTTTGATGCCAATCAGATTTTGCGAAAATACGCATAGATAAATCAATATATTTTATTTTAATTAATCTATTTACATTATGATATCTTAGTTGATTATGTCCATCATATTTCAGAACTAAAGTACTAGTATATCTAATATACTGTAATACTCGTTTATGATATGTATTCAACAATGTTATATCTGATAATGAGAATTAGGTGGTTTAAAGTTCAATAAATGTTCAGTTAAGTCTATCGTGATATATTTAATTTTATGATAAAAATATATATTCGTATAAATTTTATTTTTAGAAAACTCGAGTCAGTTTGAATTAATTGAAATTTGTTTAGAAAAAAATATTGAAACTGCATATTAGCATAAAAATTACTATGATAATTTAAAAATATTCTTTTCTTATATATATATATATTTAATATTTTTCATAAATATATAATATAAAATTGTATTGCATAGTATACTCTATTGAATTCCAATTTTTAAGTGTTAACATTATTCGATATTTCACGATAAATTCCAATCGAACGAAGTGATGAAAGATAAAGAAGTTGGAATAGAAAGAAAACAAATTAATTAAAAAATATTTTAATTAATATCTTGGCGAAGATAGAAGAGAGTTAGTTTAATAAACTCGATAGAAATGGCTGACTGCAATATGTTTCCTTCACGCCCTACTAAGTCAAGCTTTTTAGCTAATCGATCCATTCTTTCCAGGTATCATAATTCACAACGTCGATGCGAAAAATTAATCGCGGTGCACTCGCAATACTCTTTCAATATTACGATATCGTAGTTAACTTCTTCTCCGACGTATCCATAGATTATTGTATAAAATAAGGAGAGAAAGGAGGCTTGCCTCAGAACCGAAATAATTACAAAAGATTCGAGATTGATGTATTCTCGTATCTTTTCTTTCTTTCACGTTTTTCGTGACAATGAACGAAAAATAGTTGACCATTATCGAGTCAAAACTTTAAAAAAGATTCTCGTTTGTGAGATATAATATTTAATACTTTCTCACGTGTGCTTTATTCAAATATCATCTGCAAATTTTTCAACAATCCCTCTCGTGGATCGCCAGATAGATAATAAAAGATTTCCAATGATCAACATGTAAGATAAAATGCAGAATACCGTTCTAACTTCCAAGGACGCAAAAGAACATCAACTCTATTCCACTCGAAATGGAAACAAAAAAAAAGAAAAAATTCCATCTAATCTCGAAGAAGAAAGAAACAAGCTTCTCAAACGAAACAGAAAAAAAAAAAGAAAAAAAAAGAAGAAGAAGGAAAGAAACGATTAAATCTTCTCAATTACTGCATGGCCGTGTCGTGCTTTCACGATTTCTCGATCTGTTGGGACTGCTCTCGAATCAGGTTGAAAACCTGGGCGAGTGACTCTCGATCGGCGATCCGTGACACCTTAAGCGTGCGCTTATGGTGGACACACGCTCCGTGTCGAGAAATAAAACGGCCAAGTTATGCCGCTTTTTCCGCCCTGATCTCCCTCCACTTGTTTACGTACACACGCAGACACGTATACCGGGTGTCCTTGCGGGATGAAAGTACCCTGGAAAACGTGACCTCTCCTTCCAGCTGTGAGTAATGCTAGCCGCAGCGGTTAGGTTGTAGGCTAAGCCCGAGCATGCTTTCTCGAATGGAAAAGTTTACAGATTTCTGCGATGGATTGTTCCAATGCAAGATATCCTTTCTCTCTCTCTCTCTCTCGTGAAATTATTTATCGATCAAGTTGTCGAATTAATGTAATTCATTCATCTTTCATTAATCCTATTCGTAAAATTGTTTTTAACCAAGTGAAGAATTCCTCCTTTATCCATCAACAACGAAAAAATTGGACAATGATGATAGACAATATTAATTATCTTTCTCGAAATAAAATAACCTTTTCTTTTTTTTTTTTTATTAAAAAGAAAGAAACGAGGTTCGAGTTGTTATTCGCTGGTGGGAAGTTCGCGACAGGAGAAGTGGCACTCGTTTTCATTAAGCACGCAGGAGGAGATGCTGCGAGTCCTTCGCTATCGGCGCGATGAGAATTTTAATGCGTCAACATTAACATAAAAGCAACGTCGTTGAACGTTCACCGCTCAAGATTTTGTTAAATTGTTATTCTACAATGCGCCGTTTACTCGTGAATTATTGCACCTGAGGCCAGGACCGGGCCTCTAACCGCCCGGCCAAGAAGATAATTCGTTCAATTTCGTTGCCCGTAAACGAAACTTCGACCGGCGGGATAGCAGTTAAATTCACTTAGCGCTGTATCAGCATGATGCATTAGCATGCTTGGCAACTGTTTCGACTTTGTTAAGCCTCTTTATATTAATTTGAATACAGAGGATCTTCTTGAACCGGGGGACCGGTATCCACCTCGCTGCGTTATAATTTACAGATTTTCGCGAATTTGCATAATGCCCCGAACCGGTAACGACTTAAATTCAAATTTCTACTGCGCCGAGACATCATTGTTCGGCTGTCGTAATGAAGCAAACGATTCTGACGTTTCTTTTTTCCTTCTTTTCTTTTTTTTTTTTTTTACGCGCAATGGTCGAGAGAAGAGATATACCCGAGAGCCAAATCCTTTTTTTCATTCTCACGCAAGCTTTTCTTTGAAGCTTGAGGATTCCGACTTCGAAAGAAAAAGTCAGAAATTGTGATTTTTATTGGGTCGAGAATATGGGAAAAAGAATGGCGTAAATCGTGTGAATAAATTGATTAATTCTATCGAGTTGAAAAGAAGAAAATGTTCGTTGGATTTTACTAATGAAACTTATTGAGAAAAAAAAAATTTTAAATTCGAGGATTATTAAGGCGATAAAAATATGGAGAAAGAAAGTCGTCTGGATTAAAAGTTATTGTTATTATTTTTAGATAAAGTTAGATTTGAAAAACCTATTTCTATCGTTTCTTGCACGATATATCACTATTATTTCCCAATTTGTTCCTAATACATTCTACTCCGACAACCGCAGTATCGCAAACTCCCCTCTTCAATTCCATTTCGAGGTGTTAACACGTACAACATCCATATTTAACCCAATGAAGCAAACATCGTTCGTTATAACGTAACATTCGAACATCGTAGCCGGCATTATGTTCGAATAACGGACCTTCGACTCTCTATTACAATCCAACAATTTCATCCAGCTCGAAAATATCATTCCTCCCCTGTCAATTTTCCAATTTCAAATGTGCAACTTAAAAGAATGTTAAAGAATTTAAAGTCCCCTCCTCTTCTTCAACTTCGAACGAAGACGCGCGTCGTTAAAACGAAACGTTCCGTTCTTTTCTTTTTTTTTCTCTCTTTATTATTATTGTTTTTCATTTTGTTCTTTTCTTCCCCCCTTCTTTTCTTTTTTATTCCAGGTCCGGCCAGAGACGAATTAGGAGGAAATTTATCGGTTTCCGATCCCGAACGATCGACCTCGCGTCGAAAGTGGAACGGCTACGTGAGATCCGGTTTCGGAAGGACGAAAAAATATGAGCATCTCGTGAAGTCGGTTAAAGTGCAGCTTTCAGACATCGAAGGAGTATTACCATGGAGACCGAAGAACTCACTAGACTCGTAGATGAGATCTACAAGGTAAGCAAGGACCGATCTAGTAACGATCTGGATCGATGATATTTAATGCCATTATTTAAATTGGTTTCACCTCTTCTGGAAAGATGGGATGTGTAGAGATTGTAGAGGAAACAGACGGAAAGAGGAAAGTTTTGTTACACTTTCGATAAAATTAATCGGTCAAGCGAACATGTTGCGGTTCATTAATCGCACAATTAAGCGATAGTGTCGGCGATTTTATTCCGTGGAAAAAGTGGAGAATTCGATAAAAGAGATGGAAAGAGTGGGTAAATGAGGATGATGGTCTATAATTAATAGCTGTTTATCAACGGTTGACGTCTGTAGTTTTATTGGAGATATATAATTTCGATTTTCTACGTCTTCATACTTGCTTTTCTCTTTTAATAATTACTCGTAACGTAATGTTGTATAAAACTTAATAAGTTGTATAATTCTTACAAAATTTAAAACGAATGTCGAGAATAAATTAAGAACGGACCATTCATCGAAACGATAGTAAAAATCTACTAAAATATCAAAAAAAATTAATTCTCTTCTCGATTCCATTTTCCCTAATTTCGAAACGAACGGGAATCGTTTCGATACCCGCGTGATGAGATCACAAGGGATTTTCTCTCTTCGAATTTTCCATCAAGCCTTGTCAGCCAGCCGTGTAAACACCAAGATATCTCGATCATTTGGTCGGTACACGTGATGTAATGAAAAATGGATTTTCTCTTATGTACACGCGCGTATAAAATTCGCGACACTATCCGCCTCTTCTTAACCGTTTGCCAAGTTTTTCTTGGGTCTATACATCACGTGATAAGGTGCCATCTCATTGTCCAGGGATGTACGTGATAAAATTGTGGGACGTGAAAGTTTACCATGGATATTGAATTTAGAAACTCCGGCGCGCCATCTGGAACGTTTTTCGCGAATATTACTTATCGTTGCTGTAATGGCCCCCTATTTTTCCCTTCGTACGCTCACTTCCTCTCCGAGATCCCAGTTTTTCGCGTGTCTTCTTCCTTTATCTCTCTCTTTCTATCCCCCCCCTCCCCGTCGAAAGAAAATTGATATCAATCTTTGTTATTGGAAATCATTTTCATTTATATTTTCTGAAGGCCCCTTCTTGAACGTCTTCTTTGAAAAATTTTACGGGTGGAAAGTGTACTTTTGTCTCTTTGTTATTAGGTTTTATTAACAGGTTATTTAACACTGTGATTAAATTGTTTCGAATTTTTTTTTTTTTTGCTCTCGATAATTATTTGAATAGATAGAAATATTGAAAAAAAAACGATGTTGATTAAAATTTTATAATACTATTTTCGTTTATGAAAAATTATTGTTGGACGAGTGGTATCAATTATCGGGGAATATTCAATCTTGAGAAAGCTATAAAACTGACAAATAGATTTATTTAGTAGACAATCAACAGGTACGGTGAACTATGATCTATAGATGGAAGATCGTAAACCTCGCGCCGCCATATCGAGACAATGAAGACAATTTCGAAGTCTGTAACGTTTAATGTCTACAGGAATCATAGGTGTAGTGATTAATAAATGGCCAGGTCATTCAACCCTCTCGATTCTAACGGTACACGTGCGTCCTATATAGCTATAAAAAATTACCAACGCAATACAACAAGTTACTGGTCTTATGAATGGAATTTAAGAATTAAGTAAAAAAAAAATGTTAATTTTTACGATATGGATATTATTCAAATTAAGGATAATTGTTTATTGAAATATTCAATTCGTAATGAAAAAAATGCTCGTAGTTCGAAATGGAATAGTTTTTAAAATGTATGGAATTTTAAAGTTGATTATTATTGGAAATAGAAAGTTTGAAATATATTCGATAGAAAATATATGCGATAGATGGAACATTTTTGAAAAAGTGGTCACGTTGGATAGGTTCCAAAATAATCTATAAAATGCATAGAATATTGAACTTAATTATTTGGAATAGAAAGTTCAAAATTAAAGTATTCAATCGAAAAGAAAAAAAAAATTTAAAAGAAAACGAAACGTATGGTAGTTTTTAAAAATTCTTCTTTCGAATATTCAACGGTTGTGTAGTGTAACCCTTCAAAAAAAGGTAGAAACAAAGTTTCAAAACTCGCGTAGAGAATTCAATTCAATTTTTAGAGTCGATAGCTTGCAAAATTTAAAATTCAAATTGCTCGATTCACAATATATATATATATATAAAAACAAAGAATAATTTCTCTACGTAAAAAAACTCTACGTACAAAAAATTCTTTAAACAGACCTTACCTTTTAAACAAACCAAAATAAAAAGAAAAAGAATATGGAAGAGGAAGACGAAAAATGCGCAACATCGTTTCGTTCCAAACATCGAAACCAGACGATGTTCTTTTCCAAGTAAAAGTAAATTTCACGGAAAATTGATCGCAACAGCCTCGACTTTCTCTATCCGCGGAACCATAACCATCATCCTCCTATCTACAGAAAGCTCTCTCACTTATCCGACTGTACAAAAGTTCCATCGTGTCGCGGAACCTCTCCCGGGTTTCCGGTTAATCCATCCGTTTATCCCTCCACTTATCCGACTGTCTGTCTCGTCGAAAACGTGCGTTTACGCGGAAACCCTTAGACAACGTTGCCGCGGAATTTCCCGATAATTAGGTGTCGCCTTGGAAAATTATCCGTCGCGAATACAAGCATGGCGGCGGCCTGGATCGAGGGTGTGGAGTGGAGAAGGGTGGAGAAGAGAGAGAGAGAGAGAGATGGAGAGGGATTCGTTGGATGGCGTTCACGGAAGCGAGAATGATTAGGCGGAAGGTAATCTTATTAGTCGTTCGGCAGTCAAGCTTTCCTTTAAACCCTCACGCCCTTCTCTTCATCTTTGTCGCGATCCTTCGCGCAACGGAGCTCTGCACCCCCTATTATCCCCATAGACGAGCCTCTTTTCGCGCGCTAACGACGGATGTTTCGTGGAAAATTGAAATAGTCAACGAAATCTTATCTTAACTTCGCATCTCCTTTCTCGACGTTTTTTTTTTTTTTTAAAGGATTTGAAAATATGTTTGATATAACGATTTCGGTATTAATCGGTATTTCGATCGAGTTTATCTTGATATATATTATAATTAAGTTAATATTTAACTTAACTGTTTACAAAATATCGGAATAATAGTGTGGTATCTATTAATATTTACGAAACTTTTAACTCGCGAATAAATATAGCGAATATTCCATCGAAATGGAATACCTATCATCCTTTCCAAACAACAATTCGAAAGTTACGATTTCAATGGGGAAGGGGGAGAAAAAATGTATTCCAAACACATGGGAAAAGTGATCGCATAGATACAGATCGCAATTTTTCCTTTTTTTCGCAACAAATTGCGAAGTATCGAATTGTTGTCGGCGCTGCAATTAAAACCTCGTATTCAAATATCGAAATGCGTTTAGAGATGAGTGATATTTCGGTCCAGTTACGCTATTGAAAACTGTTAACAACCCATCATTCGAATCGATGCGAAAAAAAATACTCATACGCAACTCTCCTCCCCTCCCCCCGTTTATCTCTTTTATCGGGGAAAAACTTTTCCGCGCAATTCACGTAGCTGAAAATTACCCTTAAACCACACTCGAACAATCTCGTTCCTCGATAAGAGAAAAGAAAAAAATTGGATTTCGCGGTTTATTTCTTCTTTGACAATTTCTTGCGACGTTCCACCTTCGTAAGTCTACGCTGAACTCTCGTGACTTTCTACTTATCTCGGTTATTACCACATTTATATATTGTACCTTCTATGATAATTCGCTCGAGACATCTTTATTATCCAAGAATATCTTCCATAACGAGTTCAGAGAAGGAAAAAGAGAGGAAGAGCTTTATCTACGCAGAATTAAACGAGCGCTGAATTTTTGTAGAAAATTCGCTAACATTTAAACTATTGCAACTTTGCAAGAATAAAAAGAAAAATCATGACACAGCACATTTTCAAGATCGAAGCCTCTAGCTTCATGTTCTTAATGAACTTAATTTTTTCAAATCTATCCATTTTCGTTCCTAAACTTTACAAATTCAAGTAATCCAAAGATAGTCTTCGATCGAACGACTTCACGAAGAGAGAGGCAAAGAGTTGTCTATTTCCGCGAAAGGAAAATTTTCCAGGAAATATAAATAATATCCTCTTTCACAAACACAAATTGCGGGATGTAATCAGCAGAGACGCGCGCCTCAAGTGTCCTGATCCAGAGAGACAAAAGAAAAAAGGGGGGATCGAGGAAAAATTACGTCGGTAACCTTTCAACGGCCGTCTTATACCCGGAAACGAGATTTGTACGAAGCTTATTATATTCCCTAACATAATAAGCGGTTCCAGTTTGCCGAGAACCGGTGGATACAAACTCGAGGAAATCCTCTTTCCCAATGTTCCTCCAGAATAATTCCTCCACAGGGCATTAAAGGGGAATAAAATTGTTTACAGTAATTATCGTCTTCCTTAATGAAGTTTCTCAATCTTCAATCCTTCGCATTCCTCCGTATCATCGTGCTGAACCACCAAACAACGAAATAACTCTAGAGATCTATTAAAAAGCACGACGAGGTAATTACAACCACGAACACAGATTTTTCTATCCCAACGAATCGATTAGTCGTTAATAAATCGCGACAAATTGGACGGAAGACGCGGTCCAATTAAATATGGCCGAGGGAATATTAATATTAACGCGAACAGATTCGTTAAGACGATCTTTTCCACTTTCTCCTGGTGGTGTGAAGAAAAAGAAGAGAGAGAGAGAGAGAGAGATCCATCCCTCCGACCAACGTTCATAAATTCCACTCCCGTCGTGAAGTTATTAACGTAATTACCAGTGAAAAGCTTGAGGGGGTGGCGCGCGGAGCCTACACCCCCTTTTTCGCACCCCGGGTAATCGATCTAACATCCCCGGCCCGCAGGAAATAAAGGATACAAATCGGTTTTTCCCGCGTCGAAATTAAACCACGTTGGATGATCGAGGGGTACGGCCGTGACG